AATAATAACCATTTACATTAAATGTTCAATATTTGACAATATCCTTAAACTATGCTTAGTCTAAGGCCAAATCTTTTTACGTTTACCAACTCTTAAACTAATTCTAGTTCAAGGTACTTCTATCCAACTCTTAAGCTAGGTCATTAGTTTAAGGTACATATATTCCGATTGATTTACCAACTCTTAAACTAGCCTTCGCTTAAGGTACAAATCCAGAAAACCGAACAGTAGAATACTAACTGTCGGGTTGGGTGGTATCCCCAAACGAGTTCCTCTAGTTTGGTTTATGGATCCCATATGTACGTTTTTACCCAAGGCCACCGAATATACATTTTTATACCCGCAAGGCCCAATCTAATTTGAGGTCTATCTTAGAGATCTTCGAGATAGCCTTAGCAATACACCGATTTCATGATCATCATTATATTCATTTTTAATCATGATTTAATCATTACTAATCATCCTAATGAGTAGGTTTATCATTTATAATCATCCATAATAATTATCCATCATAATGATCATTAAGCATAACGTTTAATAACAATTAGCGGTCTAGTCTCAAGTGTTAACACCCGAACTTACCGTCATGCATTACATAATAATGTTTTAATTTGTTAAAAACATCATTTTTATTATGAAAAATAATTTTTATAATAATCATAATCAATTGGTATCAAAAATAGGATTTTGGAGCTCAAAAATAGCAATTTCAGACAAATTTTTGGATCAGAGTTACGGAGGATCGATCCAGTAGTCTGGATCGATCCAGACTGGAAAAGATTTGCCCAGGTGATCGATCCAACTGACATGATCGATCCACCCTGCAAGTTTTCAGCTCCTGTTCATCTTCTTCAACCTTCGGTCCATTTTTCGGAAATACCATTTTTCATCACCGAACTTCAATTAAACTATATAGAAATGTTCTCCAAGGTTCATAGATCATTTTTGAATTATTAAAACATAATTTTAACATCAAATTCAAGGTTTGTGATTCTTGGTTCTTCAAACATGTCAAACACAAAACTCAACCAAATAAACATTTATGAACGTAGAAACGACCTATATGAATATTCTAGTCATAGATATATTTACGGGCTTACCTTGAAGCGTAAGGGAGGTTTTGAAGATTTTCCGGCGAAACTTCCGGCGACTCTATCTCACTGCTCCGGCGACCTCACACAAAGATGACAGCACCACTGCACTCTGCTCTGAGCAAGGAACAATATAGGAGGAAGAATGAATATTTTTGGTGATGAAATGGAAGAATTGGCTCTCCTTAAATAGCCAAATGAAAGCGGAAGAAGACAGGGAGTTTGCAACTTCCTTGATTGCACGGTGATTGGGATTGTAGAATCGGCGTAATTTAACAGGGCGCCGTTTGGTACGTAGTCCCTGATAGGGACTAATATTTGATCCCAGTCGGGGTACACTTTTTGGTAGAGGTGGCAATCGGATCAACCGGATCAGTTTCGGGTTGGATTTTTTCGGTTCGGATATCTTTCGGTTATATGTTATAATCGGTTCGGTTCGGATCGGTTAAATTTCGGTTCGGATTTGATTTCGGTTCTCTACATTTTTCGGTTCAGTTCGGTTTCGAGTCAGTTCAGATACGGTTCGGTTATAAATCGGTTCGGATAGATTTCAGTTCGGATACAATTTGAGTCAAATATATTTCTGTTTCGGGTCTAGTTCAGTTCAGATATATTTCGGTTTTGGATCAAATATATTTTGGATATATATTATTTTCTAATTAAAATTTAACTATCAGTGTTTTTTTTATGTTTTATCACATTTATCAATCTATCATCAATTCAATACCTCATATTATTTTATATTTTTTTCTAGTTATATTATCTCTACCCTAAATAATCTTCCCTTTTTGACTTTTTAGTCATATTTTACAAATTTGGACTACAAATTATGAAAACATATATATTTAATTATGATATAAATTTAATATAATTAAATTGCTTTTAAAATTTAGTTTTGAAATATAAAATTTTCTCACATATACTAATATACTTATGTATATAAATGAAAGGATAAAATATAAATTCAAATAGTCTTATGTTCCATTTGAATACAATTTGGTAAAAATTGAGTAAAATTGGGTGAAATTAAGTGAATTTTATTCAATTGACTTCAAAATTTGTAAATTATTGAGTATATTTGGTTGAAAATAGAAAAAATTAAATTTAATAGAGTCAAATATAATTAATTTTACACCTAAATGTAATGATGTAGATCAAATTTGAAAATAATAACAGTAAAGGCTGCCGCTAGAGAGTCTTTTCAAAATGCTAACACTAGCATCTAATTTTATTGACTAATATTGAGTGAATTGGTTTGAAACTAATCAAATTAACTCTCAAATCAATAAAATTTATTGTAATGAGATGAAATTAGGATAAAATCTAGTTATTCCATACAATTCATCATATATTCCTTTCGTCCCAAAAAAGATATCACACTTCACTATTTAAAAATTACGGAAATTTTATTTGTTTGTGCGTTATCATTTATATGTATAACTTATCTTTAATTTCTACATATAATAAATTTAAGGCATAAAATTTTGTACTTTTTTTCTAGAAGATAATCCATTTTATGAGGGAATGTGCAAGTAATGTAATTAGTTCAAATGGTAAAATAAAAGTAAAAATTTAAAAATATAATATGCTTATTGAAAGGCAAACATAGTTCTGATCGAATTTATCGATTTTAGTTTTAATCGGGTTCAGATATTATAGGTTTCAGATCTAATCGGTTTCGGATTTTATCGGTTTCGGGTATTATCGGGTTCGGTTCTAATCGATTTCGGGTTTAATCGGTTCGGATATTATCGGTTTCGGATCTAATCGGTTTCGGATTTAAATCGGATATGAATTATTTAGTTCGGTTTCGGTTCGATTCGAATCATTTCAGGTTTTCGGTTATAGATCGGATCTTCATTTTTCGGGTCATTCCCGTTTCGGTTTCGGATATTTCGGTTCTGGTAATCGGTTCTGGTTCTGTATTGCCAGGTCTACTTTTTGGTCCAACTTTCTCCAAATTGAAATTCGATTAAACCGTTGTAGTCAGGCAGTCAAACTCTACACAACGATATACTCCCTCCGTCCCCCTAAGATGTTCTCATTTTGACTTTTGGTGGTTTTTAAGGAGAGTTGAAAAAAGGTGAAAGTTTACCATAATACCCTTAATGAAAATGGGTGGAGTGTATTAAATGAGGTGGGTGAGGTGTAATAAATAAAGTAAGTGGGGGTAGTTGTGGTATTTTAATTGTTAAAAAATGAAATGAGAAGATCTATTGTGGACAAAGAAAAAGGGCTATTGGGAAGATCTATGGGGGACGGAGGGAGTAATTTTTATGAATTATAGACAAACTTTATAATTTACTTATTTTTGGGTCTTTCTCAGTAATTAATTAATTATCAGTTAATTAATTCTGATAGGCCTATTTTCAGGGCGTTACATTTCTTTCCCCCTTAAAATAATTTCGTCCTCGAAATTACCTGAGTCATTGATTGAANTTGAGCCGGTTTGTGAACATGAGAGTTCTGGGTTGGATCCTTCATCTTTCTGCAGCTGTTCTTCATATGACCAAGCTTCAAGCATGAATGGCAGTAATATGGGACATTTTCATAAATGAGAGGGGTAAATGAATCTTTATCACCTAATCTGATGTGCATCTTGGCAGGTAATGGATTAGAGACATTCACCTCCACACAGAACCTAGCCAAAACTGGTCTTGTGAAGTTTAATGTGCTCTCATCCACTTTGAGAGGCCTACCCAAAGAGGATGCAATGTTGAAAAGAGCTCTTTGATCATGCAGGAAAATAGGGAGGTTAGGACAAGAAACCCATACAGGAACAATGGGACAGTCCACCCCCTCCTTGTGATCATGAGTCCATTTGGTAACAACCATTATTTGACCCCCAACTTGCCAGGTTTGTCTAAGGAAGATACGCTGATAATCATCTTCATGCTGGAAGTTAATGAGTACCTGATTGGAAGAAAGTTTTCCAACTGTGAACTCTCCTTGAAGTCCAAGTTTCTGCAAGAAATTCTTCATCACTGGGTATGGAGGCCTGCGACTGAAAGTGCCAATGAGAGCATTCTTGAATCTCCTAGAAAGTAGTTGGATGTCATCAAAAGAGAAAGACACTGATGGCACCCCTTTGTAAAAACCTTGAGTAACACCTTGTAATTTTTCTTCTTCTTTGAATGTATTGAGAACTTCAGAAAAAAGTTTCTTCCGGCCACTAATTCCGGCACTCACTGCCGGCGGAATCTCTCTCTCACTAGACATTTTGTATGTATGTATGTATGTATGTATGTATGTATATATATGTATGTATGTATATATATATATATATATATATATAGGGATTGACTCCAGTGAGATGACACCTTACGGTGAGATGACATGCTTCGGTGAGATGACGCAAAGCTCACCACATTACACTGCAAAGCTCACCAATGGCCAATGTAAAGCTCACCTGGAAATAAAGCAAAGCTCACCACTTTGAACACCAAAACACACCTTTTTTTAATTCTGAAAATTAAAAAATAATTAAAAATAAAATAGCAACACCGGTCAACCACCGGTCAGCAGCGGCGGCGCAGCGGAGGCTGGCAGTGGTCGGCGGCGGCGCGGTTGAGGCGGGCGATGGCCGGCGGTTGTGGTCGGCGGCCGGCGGTGGCCGATGATGGTCCACGGTCAATGGTTAAAGTCTAGTCAGCGCCCCTTCAAAGTGTTGAAAAAATTTGGTGAGCTTGCCTAACAGTTTGGTGAGCTTTGTAATTGTCTTTGGTGAGCTTTGCAGTGGCCAGTGGTGAGCTGTGCGTCATCTGACCGAAGTATGTTATCTCAGCGTAAGGTGTCATCTCACTGGAGTCAATCTCATATATATGAGATTTTTAATTATCTCTCTCTCTGCCTTTCGTACACTCATGTCGGCGACCTCCTCAGGGAGGGTCACCGGCGACCCTCCACAGCTCCAACAAGCACACCACAGCCATCACCTGGGCACCCTCAAGGCTCCAGCCAAGAGTTACGCAGCAGCCACTGTTGTTGCTTCCAACAAGGTAACGTCTATCCCCCTCCCTCCTAAAACTGTTGAGAAATACAAAGGCCTTCCTTGTGTCTCTTTCTCTAATGAGAAAATCTCCACTTTGGCTACTAGATTTTCAAAATCTCTTGTTGGATCCTTCTTTTTTTGGGAGGCCAAGCTTGGATTTCCTTCTCCAAAGCTTTGAGAGAATTGGTTTCACAGCCTTCTCTATAACCCTCTTAAACGACACTCATGTTCTCATTAACTTCTCCAATGAGGAGTGCTACCACCGGTGCTTCAAAAGAAGGGAGTGGCAGTTTGGTAGTTTCAACATGAGAATCTCCAAACGGACGCTACACTTTGATACAAAAATTTGAATCACCCATTCTCCCCGTGTGGATCTCTATACCCAACCCACAACAGGACAAACCCACTGACAGTCTTCAATCAAACACTATGATGGTTGTAGTTTTTCGGGTAGTAAACCTTCCCAATAAAGGGTTAGTTTTCTCTCCGAGTGTCGTGTCTCTCGAGGAGTGAACGAAGGGAATTAGTTTAATTACTCTAATTAGGAGAAGGTTAGGATAGGTTTATGAAAGTCTTCTCGGAACGAATATAAAAAGAGCAGAGTAAAAATAATAAATTTAGTTTACATAGTATAAGTGCAAGTCTGGACCTAGGGTCAGGACATCATTTGGATCTATTTTATTATATTAAATTAACAATTGGAATAATAATATTTCTATTACTACTCATCCATTTCTAGATTTGTACTTAATCCGTTGCACTTGAATATCATAGCCCTTTGGCACACAATATTTTCTCAATAAATAGCTAATTAAATCTTTCGACATTAATTAACTAGATAAGGCAAGAGCAATTGATTAACCATTCCAACATTAATTTAACATTCAAAATATATAACCAAATTAGTCCGGACCCAGAGATCCGGACCCTAACTCATACTATGCAAACATGAATTAAAACATCATTTTATTAAATAAAGAAAACTTACGGCTCCTGTAAAAGCGGAACAGAACAGATCTGGAGTCAAAACCTCCGAAAATACTTCAAAACTACTACTAAAACTAATATACAAGAGATATTGACCAAAATGAAGGACTAAACCCGAGAGGGGTTGAGAATGGATTGTTAGAATGAGGAGAATCACGCTGTATTTATAGGGACGGAGCCGAGGCGTCCAACTCCAAGCGTCCAGATCTAGACGCTTGAGCTATCCCAGCCAACCAGGTTTTGCCACATGTCATTCTTGGGCTGCAATTAAGTTGAAGCGTCCAACCCTGAAGCGTCCAACTTGGCCAAGCGTCCAAGTTGGACGCCTCAGGCCCTTCTCTTGGTGGGCTTCGCGGCTGGTTCGTGATTTTGGCCCAATTTTGCTCCGTTTCGGCCCGAACGTCAATTTTAACCTCCCGGAAGCTCGTTGAAGCCAAAATCTTTATCCTTTGGTGATTTATTCCTTTTTCACAAGTATTTGAACATAAAATGGATTATTTATGATGATTTTATGTGGAATCCCATTTTATGACTCTTAGAACGAAAATGAGAGTTTTATTCATTGAAATCACATTTTATAAGATGATTAAATACTATTTACGTGCAATAACATTTAGAATATGATGTAAATGATAAGAACGAAAAAAACTTATCAAATTCCTCACACTTAAACGTTGTTTGCCCTCAAGCAACAAATTGAATAATTATAAGTATGGAAGCAAATTAGTAATCACAGAGGAAATGTTTAAGCTACGTATTATGAAGGAAAGAAGAAATAAGATAGTCATCAACCTTTTTGTTAAGAAGAAATGAACCTTTAGATTTTCACCCATATTATTAGAAATGTAAAAGAATTCTGTCAAACCAATATTGTTATACCAACCTAAACAACCAAAAATTTTCCAAACTTTCTTTGGGATAACTACATTTGTAAGAGTACTTTAAAGATCAAATAATTTTTTAATGGCTAAATTGGAAAACATGTTCTTGCAAAAGTATTAGCCAAAGTGTAAGGGTTTAATTATCTTTGGCATAATTTTGTCATGTTGACACGAGAAAAATTTATAACCTCATCCCGTAACATAGAACCACGAGCTTTTTGGAAATTCACTCTGGAAAGTCTCATCACACGACATAGAACCACATGCTTTTTGACTTAACACTCAAAAGGCCTCATCACGCAATATAGAACCGCGTGCTTTTTGGCATACTCACCAAGCCTCATCAATTGACATAGAACCAATTGCTTTTTGGCTAAAACAAGAATCTCGAGCTCACCAAAGTAGACTTTGAAACGTCACCCATTATACTTTGAAAATAACTCTCCTTAAGAAACAACAAATACTCAGAGCCCGAAAGATAGATGAGTATTTGCAAAAAGATTTTCAATAAAGCAACTAAAACTTGATTGATCTTAAAAATCTTAGTAAATTGTGAATTCATCCCAATTCATTTTAGAAAACATTCCCAAAAGGTTAGAGTAAAAATAGAAATTTGACAAAAAATTTTAAAAATTTCCAATTTTAAGGGTGATAACTAAAGTTTTAATCAAACAATTAAAATTGATGACTATTCTATAAAAATCCTTTTCTACAAATATATAGACAAAACAATTCCTAAAAAGATCATTTCAACAAGGAACTCTCGCCTCCTCACACTTAAGCGAAACCACGCCCTCGTGGTTAAGAGTGTTTTTGAATTGGAGTTAACGGTTAAAATGCTCACATGCAAATACTAAGTTATCTCAATACTTACAAGATTCAACGATTAAGATTGAAATAATAGATAACCATCATATTTAAATATGAAATAATGCATAAAATATTCTCAAAATGGTTTTAAGAGTAATAATGGGAAATTCCAAAATAAAAATCATCAAGCATCCAAATCATGTTCAAAATAGTAGAGAAAAAGAGAATTTACTGAGGAAGTCAATATCCTCTCAGTAGCTAATTTCAACCAAGAATGCTGGATCAAGAATAATCAAGGGCTATAAAACCTTTGTGTTTACCCCACGTGCAGAACCTCTTCTTCGCTTCCTCTACAAGGTATTCCATACGGTTCTCCCATCTGCAAAAACAAAGACAACAAAACAAAATAACTCTTGCCCCCAAAACTGGTGCGGCAAGTAGAAACTCACAAATAATAAAAAAAATCTATTTAATTATTTTAGTTATTTGAGTGACGGGTTGCCTCCCGTTAAGCGCTTCTTTAACGTCCATAGCTTGACGCCTTTGCCACTTTTTCCGTGACTTTCCGATCCGAGAGTCATAAAGTTTGGCCTTTTTGACTCTTTTCTAATACCACCTTATTTGATTTGTTGCTCGGTCAAGGTCCAGGATCCTTGACTCATCCTTGCGGCTTGGTGGCAACAGGATATATGGAGGAGACTGTAGATAGGTGGGTGGTGGCGGAAGTCTCCTCCGTAGATCCACATCATTAGCCTTGATTGCAAAATTGATTTCTTCCTTATCTTCAATCGACTGACTAACCAATTGTGGTTTGATGATTATGACCGTGCTTTCCCCCATGGAAGAGTCGTCATGATCACTCACCAGAAGCTCGTCCCAACTTGCTTGACTCCAACCATCCTTCGGGCAGACATAGTCATACCCATCAAGTAAGGAATCAAAGAAAGCATGGTCTGAATCTTCATATAAATCATTTTTTGCGCAGGTTTCTATAGACGGAATTAGTTCATCAGTGCAAAGAATTTCCTCATCTATAGATTCCTCCTTAGACTCTTGGATGTCGAAATCTTGGGGGTAGGTAGTGGGCTCTATTTCCTCTAGAACAGGTTCCTCTGGAGGTGTGTCTTCAACACAATTAAGGAGATGGTCGTTTATTGCCAAAGGTAAAACTTCCTCCTCCTTCTTTTCTTGAATAAGCATAGGTGGTTCTGAGTCAGGTCCCTCAGTTGGTTCCACCTCATGTACGACTATGCTGGTTGGGACTTGGCTAGGACTGGGTGAATCTTCTAGAACTAGAACCTGTTGATTGAATGGTTCAGGGTTGGTCTTAGGTTCTAGAGCCTCTTTTTGAGCATCAATCTCCCTCATTTGATTTTGAGATTGGAGGGAGCGTTTAAGCTTAATAGCCTTACAGAGATCATTGACTAATTCATCAGCTTTAGCCTCGGCTTCTAGTCTCTCTCTTTGGAAGTCGTCCAGCATTTTCTGCATCCTTTCTGATTCTTCGCATAATCTCCTTTCAAACTCCCTTTCCTTCCGGACTAATTCAAGAAGTTTTGCTCTTTCACGAGTTGCCACCTTGTTTGCTTCGATTTGTTCTTCAGCAAACAGAGTGTAGTCACGGGAGTAAGGTGGTTCATACCAGGAGCCTTCAGCGAATAAAACTTCATCGAAATAGAAGATTTTCTGTTCTAATCTTATGATCTCTCCGACGAGCGGATCAGATTGATCGTCGCACATAGGCCCAGATTGGTCATAGTCATCTTGTTCACCATGAGGTTCATAATAATTCTCTCCATCAGAATCTTGGTATGGAGAATATCCAAAGTTTCTAGACGGGATATCATATGGTGGTTCCTCATGGTAGGGATAGTAGTCAGACCTATTGTTGACTTGGTAGTCATCATCATTTGGGTTCTGATGTGGGTGATAAGGTGGATAATACGGAAGGCGGTTGGGTGATTGGTAGAAAGAAGGCGACCCGTAATAACCACTGGAGTTATCCATAATAATTATTACGGGTGGTTGATGAAAAGAAGTAAGAAGATCGTTCTAACCAATCTTCACCCAAGCTAATCAGAAGAAATTAAACTAATGCCGTGCCACTCCCCGGCAACGGCGCCATTTGATGGTTGTAGTTTTTCGGGTAGTAAACCTTCCCAGTAAAGGGTTAGATTTCTCTCCGAGTGTCATGTCTCTCGAGGAGTGGACGAAGGGAATTAGTTTAATTACTCTAATTAGGCGAAGGTTAGGATAGGTTTATGAAAGTCTTCTCGAAACGAATATAAAAAGAGCAGAGTAGAAATAATAAATTTAGTTTACATAGTATAAGTGCAAGTCTGGACCTAGGGTCAGGACATCATTTGGATCTATTTTATCATTTTAAATTAACAATTGGAATAATAATATTTCTATTAATACTCATCCATTTCTAGATTTGTACTTAATCCGTTGCACTTGAATATCATAGCCCTTTGGCACACAATATTTTCTCAATAAATAGCTAATTAAATCTTTCGACATTAGTTAACTAGATAAGGCAAGAGCAATTGATTAACCATTCCAACATTAATTTAACATTCAAAATATATAACCAAACTAGTTCGGACCTAGATATCCGGACCCTAACTCATACTATGCAAACATGAATTAAAACATCATTTTATTAAATAAAGAAAACTTACGGCTTCCGTAAAAGCGGAACAGAATAGATCTGGAGTCAAAACCTCCGAAAATACTTCAAAACTACTACTAAAACTAATATACAAGAGATATTGACCAAAATGAAGGACTAAACCCGAGAGGGGTTGAGAATGGATTGTTAGAATGAGGAGAATCACGCTGTATTTATAGGGACGGAGCCAAGGCGTCCAACTCCAAGCGTCCAGATCTGAACGCTTGAGCTGTCCCGGCCAACCAGGTTTTGCCACATGTCATTCTTGGGCTGCAATTAAGTTGAAGCGTCTAACCCTGAAGCGTCCAAGTTGGACGCCTCAGGCCCTTCTCTTGGTGGGCTTCGCGGCTGGTTCGTGATTTTGGCACAATTTCGCTTCGTTTCGGCCCGAACGTTAATTTTAACCTCCCGGAAGCTTGTTCAAGCCCAAATCTTGATCCTTTGATGATTTATTCCTTTTTCTCAAGTATTTGAACATAAAATGGATGATTTATGATGATTTCATGTGGAATCCCATTTTATGACTCTTAGAACGAAAATGAGAGTTTTATTCATCGAAATCACATTTTATAAGATTAGTAAATACTATTTACGTGCAATAACGTTTAGAATATGATGTAAATGATAAGAACGAAACGAACTTATCACACTACAACCCTTCAACCCTTCAATCATAATCTACCCACTGTTCCCACTCCCACCCAAGCAGAGTTACCCCTCTACAATCTTGATTTACCAAAATCACCCAAACCCAACCATCCACCCTCTCCTTCCCATACTACCAACAACCTAACCTCTATACCCTCCACCTCTGCAACCACTTCAGAAACCCCCCCTCCATTTACC